TTAGGTGGTTGGTTGGACAGGTTTAGGTTGCTTGATTGGGAATGTCACTTAAAGTGCGTAATGATTTATAGTGTGGACATGTAAGGTTGTCTGTCTACGTTCACATTATTGTGCGTATTTGTTTTTGTTGTTGTGTTCGTTCTTGTTTGATTGCTTGCATTGATTCTGGTTTTTGTGGCTTCCTTCGGTTTTTTTCCTCAGTCTATCTTTTTTTCTAGTTCTCTTTTATTCATGAATTCTGTTTTATCATTCTGTCGCCTTTGATTCCCTCTTTCAGCGGATTCACCTGACTCCGTTTCAATTCATCGGGGCTGGCCGTCGCCGGTGCGCGTTTCGGGTTCGCTTGGCTACAGCTTCCCATCCCTTCCACCTTTGCTTGTGGACACCAAATCGCGGAATACCCTCCGTATGTTCTTTTCACAATTGATATTTTGATTGTTTGACAATAGTTATCGTCTTCACAGTTCCTTTTTGCCCTTCTTAGCCACGAGTCGTCTCTCTCGGCCCTCCAAGCTCACCAGTGGCTCTGCCCTACCGCGGCCTTCGGGTTTAGCATCTCGCAGAACGACAACAACTACTGCCTCCGTTGTACGTTAGCGCTTTGTTGTGTGCTTTTCGCATTTGTGCCCCATTAGTCGAAATCCGCTTTCACGTTTGCTCCTTGGTTTCTCCGTACCACCTTATCTGTTCTTGCATCGGAGCAGTACTTCCCCCTTCTTTCGTAATTTGTTGAAATTACTAATCAGCAAAGTTTGTTTGGTCGCTAGCTTACATCAGTACTTTCTTACTGTAGACAGACTTCGCCATTCGTCAGACACTCAATGCACGAGAAGCTAAGGAGGTTGAAGAACAACGTAAGTTTGTGCTCCCGGGTGCCGCACTCGGGTGATTGCGCTCTAAAGTAGACCTTTCTACCCCCTTCTGTTGTAGTTTTATGCACTTCGGCATGCGAAGTAGAAGACCTTCCGCCGCCACAAATCACCCTGCCTACAGGAGCTACCGTCACACAGGCGAGTGCCTTTCCCATGCTTATTAATTAAAATGACATTGACGTTACTTGGATGAAGTGACGATAAATTGTTGGTGGTGGAGTACGTGCGTGCGCAGCGTCTTTCATTTTTGATCGTTAATTTGCAGGAAAATGACAGGGCGCCTGTCGTGCAACCAATCCACCTTCCAGAAGACCTTTCCTTGTCAAACTCGCGACTCTATCAGAGCATGCTCGAAACCGCTTTGATGCCACCGCCAGCTCCACCACTGAAACATCGCCGTGGCATGTTCAAGGGACAGGCGGAGCCACAGACTCCGTCCACAGCACCCGTGTCATCCTCATTGTCTAACGCCACCACGAGGCGTCGAAGTGTCCAGTTTGCACCAGTGGCCGGTACGAACTGTTTACTGGTTTGAATACTAGTGACTATGGCATTCTGAGGGGCTTAGTGTCTGAGGTTTACGTTTGGTCCCGCTGGAAAGCCGATTCTTGGACAACCGCGGTGCCTATTGACAATTTGAGTGGACAATAGTCAATATTTTCGCCTTAGTTTTCAATCTGCCCCTTGATCGTTGTGTTTCTATGCCTACGTGTCACGTTGTTGCAGATCCTGTCTTATTTGACCAAGACATACGCATGGTGAATTTTCGAATCGTCGATTTTACATACCTTTTCCCAGACTATTAATTTGTTCCAGAGGTAATGAAGCAGCATCCAGAGGGTCAGTGGAATCGATTATCCGTGGCCATCACTGAGCCATGTAACCTCTCTCCGATTCCTCGAGTTCGGGAGAGTTCTGACGATGATTCGAGTGTAGATGACAGCCATTGTCAGAACATATGTAAGTGCTAAAGTCTTATCGAAGGTTTGTGGTTTCTGCAATTTCACATTGGACCAAAGACACTTGATTTTGTGCTTTCTTTGTGTCCGTGACGCATTTCTAGCTCATGAGGCTCACAGATGTTATGCAATGCTCGTTACTTTCAGCTATTCTCCAGGCGTCTGACACAAGCGATGCTGAACCACGTGGACGTTCTCGTAGTCGTACTTCTCTCCCAGGTAAATTACAAATGTTTTGCATAGCTGCTTCTAATTGTTCGAAGTCAAACAAAATGAACGTGATGCCGTAGATGGATTTCGTAATCTTCGACCTAGGCTGCCTATTTGAGGAAATGGAGGAGAATACAAAACCACGCACGCGCCAGCCATCTGTAATTGAGGTTTTAGCACTAAAAACGACAGTTTACCAAAGATGTGCGTTTGAGTTTATTCAGTCACTGATTCCAGGTGTTGGAAGTAGCTCCAAGTGATTCGTTTTTCTGTCTAATATCCCGCTAGGACTCTGTGTGTACATTCATCTCTTGTCTAGAGTCTAGCGGCCCGTCTGTCCATGAAACTAGCGGCCCGTCTGTCCGTGAAACGCGCCAATCGTGCGAGATCGACGTCGATGTTGACGTTGAGTCCCATTGGTTGCCACCGGCAGATGACGGCAAAGAGTACGATATGTCTGCGCTTCGTGGTGTTGTGCGACAGGGGATTATGGGCTGGGTAGAACCTGAGGACCCCATCTTCATTCCCCTTCGTAAGTTCCCTTTTCATGCACGCTAATGTTATGTTTGATCTACTGAGAGGTTGTCTCTAGTGCAAAGATTTTCTTATCTCTTGTGTGCTTGTCAGATTTGCCATCGTTATATCTTCCATGGTTCTTGTCAAATTACAGGTCGGTCCTCACAGCCGCAACCACCAAGCGAAAGCGGTGTTCGTCGAAGCTCGCGCATCCGGATTCGACCACCTCGTAGTTCTTATGAGAGAGTGTACTACGGACCCCGTGTGAACCCCAAGACGGGTTTGCCGGAGATAGTTCCGTTGGGGTACCTGCGCTATCCGGATGAGGCGGAGGCTCGTCGCCGCAGACGCTTTCTCCAAAGGCAACGCCTGCGTCAGCACAAGCCCGAGGCGAAGGCGAAACTGCAAAGAGCAACAAAACTTCGAATTCTAGCAGCCAAACGCAGGTTACTGGAAGGCCAAGGTCAAGGTAGTCGATCTTGCAACCTCTCGGTCTCCTTTCGTTTCGCCAACCTAAAACGCTTGTTATTTGTATTAAATCAGGTTCACCAACGAAGACTGTAGGTTTGGAGGACAGGCTGGAGTCGGACGTGGTGTTCGTTAAAGACGGCACGACCTCCCTTCCAATTGGTCGACTTGTCCATCCGGAGGGCCCTTCAGATCTCCGTAGGTTTCCATTTACGGTAATTTGTCATATCTTCACTCAGTTTACCCTGGGTGGATTTTGGCCATTTTTTCCTAATGGAAAACGCCTCAACAAGCCGTTTGGCTGTTTCATAGAAGCTCTTGAAGAATCATTGTTCATAATTTCTTCGAAAATTCGTCCCTCTCTTCTGTTTTAGCCGTAGTCTTCGAGACTGCAGGTGAAGCAAAGGCTCATCTCCTTGGCGGTGTTATACAGGACTACACGGTTTGCGAAATCGCGCCGGGTGCTGGCCTCCCGAACGTGGGGCCCTTCGAGCAATCGTGTCATGACATCACGAATGTGGTGTCGCGGAAGCAGAAGAGTCGTGGGCTTCACTTTGACGCCGAGGCCAACAACCTGTTCACTTTAAATCAGCCCACATCGGATCAGCTGAAATCTGACACAGTCGTGTTTGCGGTTCAAATCGGCACCTATGCCATTCCTCTAAGTAAACCTTGTAGTGTTCTTGTGCCTAGGGGTGAGTAACACCTGTCTGTGTAACTTTGTGGTATTCGTAATTCTAATATATTTTTTTTCCACATTTTAGGTATTCCCTACAAATTTGTAAATTCTACTTCCTGTACATTAAGTCTTATACGACTGCGATTTCTTCCCAGTGATCAGTAAATCAATTTACTTGTACTACATCTGGCCTTATATCTTGGAATTTGTCTCGAATCATCGGTGTGCTTGAAGGGGGTGGGTGATCGGTTCACTGGGAAGCGGTGGCTCTTTTGGATCCCGTGCATTTTTTTGTCTTATTAATTGCCGCCTTGTGTCTGCGCTAAGCTCAAAGGTGCATTCCTGTACTCTCGTAATGTTCAAAATGTGATTTACCGGAATAAATAGCTCCTTTTTTTATCGTATGATTTTTTCGGTCGCAATCTTAAGTGCTTGCGTGCATACGCATGTAAATGAAAAAATACCAAATGATCTGTTGTGATAAATTCCTATTTTGGTTACCCTAAACAATGGATATTACGGCAGTAAGTAGAATTAACCGTAAATGCTAAGCGATAAATGTATGCGATAAGTACTGTCGCTTACAACTAGTTGCAACCATTCAATGCGTTCGGACAAAGTTAGTATGGTGAAACAATGAGGTATGCGGGAATAACACCACATGAGATACAATCTACACAAAAGTGCACGGTGCTGTAGGATAGGCGAATTAGCCAGGACCCAGGAGAGCCACACGTAGTCGAATACTTGATGTAGTAGCTAATATGGCATTGGCATAGATATCGTTACATTTAAAGAACTAATTCACTGCACTGCAATACAATGCACAATGTGAGAAGTTACTTTTGCTAAAAGTAATAATATGTTGCTGATTATAAATGTTCTTCGAAATGTGCATATCCCATTTGGAGCTAACTCACATAGGTCTGACAATTTAACAACTTGCTAAAATGCGTGATCTGACTACAATTCCTATGCGCCATAATTATATTTGACAACTTTGCAAGTAACAGTGACAATTTGCAATTATAACTAGATATGAATAAATATATAATATCCTGTATTAGGTACTAAAATCGACCACTGATAAATAATTAAACAATCAAACACGCAAAAAATTGTCATTTTATTGCAAAGGCAATTAAATTCACCAGTTGCGATAATTTTATCTTCATTAATTTTTTTCGACAGGTATTTTGCTAGAAACCGCACTCGCAGCAATTTCGTTTACAAATGATCGTGATTCTCACAATGTTGCTAGATTTGTGAATAATGCATTTCGAAACAACTTAATTATTTCACTATAAAGGATTTGAAATCCACTGCAATTATAGTTTAGTTCTTCAGTCGTAAAAAAATACAAAAGGTTTTATTGCAACCTTGAACATCTAATTTAATTATTTTAGTTGCATTGTTTTTTTATCCACGTTCCCTCTTCGTTTAGTTTTAATTAGTTGCCGAATTGCCGGTTACATAGAATTCGTTGACTTCAAGAATATCTGTGTAGAATACCCGAGCCCTAATAGGTAAAAGACCGGTACAACAGAACAGGCTTTATTGACCAATCAGAAGCCAGAGCCACGCGTCAGACGCCTTCCATCCGAGTCCACCGCGCTGGCCACGCCGCTGATTATATGCTACACCTCAGTCGTGTCCTTCTCTGGTTGACTGCCTTCCATTCCCGCATGCCATTGGATCGCAGAGAGACACGGGATTGGCTGAGGCCAGGTGGTCCAACATGTCTGCGCCCTAATCCGACGCCGCAATCTGTTCTGCTATAATGGTCTTGTATCAGAGATTCGATGTTAGCAACTTGGGTGTCGGTTTCCGAAATACATTGGTTTCTGTGATTAGTGGCATTCTGTTTGCAAGTGGGTGGTGGATAATTATTGACGCTGCGGCCGGTTATGATCAGGAGACTTTGCCCCACCCTAATTATGCAATTGGATGTATGGCAACGGTGGGGTTCATACTACTCAACATCCTTCCACAAGAAACGGTGAGTATGGAAGCTTAAACGTTACCTATCTATTTTTCCACCGCATAACCGTCTCCAGGATATCCTTTGTTTATTCCTTAGCTCATTTGTCACCCTATTTTTGTCATTTCCGTCTATGTGGACGTTTTCGGCGTATTCGCTCTAAATTATCGATATAGTTTAATAATTTTTTTAAATCGAACGTAAGACCCTGAAACGGGCACGGAAACCTTTGTCCTAGTTGGCGACTACCTAACTCATGGTCTGCATTTAGATACATTGAAAATGTAATTGATTCACTGGTCTAGAATGTTAGTTTCCACATTCTGATTTATCGGGAAGCTTTGTCCAATCCCTGGTCAAGTAATTCCCAAGTCCCGATATGTCTTCAGGCACCATAGACAAGCACTCTTAACAATCGCATGTGCAAACACCAATCTGGCTTACTTTTTAAATCGGTTAAGATATTTACTACCTGTAGTACATTTTCCCCCCTATTTACCTGCGCTTACACAATTTTTTTATAAGCTGACCGACGAGACGGAGAATTCTGTCTGCGGAAAGGTGCTGGTGTTCCTAGGCATGCTGATTAATTTCGCCACCATCATCGCAGCTACGTGGGTCATGTTCGCTTCCTACGTTGTCGGCAACAAGAAGCACGTTTGGCCTGGCGTTGCAATTTTTCTGCAGAATCTGTTTATCTTCTCGGCTACCTTCGTTTTCCGGTTTGGTCGTTATCATGGGTCTACATCCTTCTGAGTCACACAAGCCACAATCATCTGCGTTAGTGTTACATTTATTCAAAAAAAACTATAAGACATATTCACTGTTAATCCTCTTCACTGTTATCGCCGGTGGAAAGAGTAGAAATGACTCTAAATATAAAAAATGAATTATTAACATAAAATAAACAAACCATGAAAAGTGTAACGCCTCTGTTGGATTTCTCCCCCTCTATCGTCAGCTTGTTCTGATCCCTAAAGTAGTACATAAGTATCATTTAGGAATATGTATTGATCGAGCACCGTGCGAATCTCGCACTAACCTGATTTCCGGTAATTTCTGGGCACCAGACAATGTTTATACAAGCGCGATGGTCGGTTAGAAGGCTGTTGGATCTCCGTACAATCTTTCTGGCCAACTCGGCTTCACCCAAACGCCAGAGCTCATCGACTAGCGGCGGAATACTTTCTATGAAATAATTTTGATTTAAAAAAACCAAATTGTTGGTGCTATCGACGGGCTAAAGAGGGCCTCTTACCTGCCAACCGCTGGAAAGATTCAATGATGTTGTAGATTACCTGGATGAGTGCCACCTCTTCAAATTTGCTGCCCTCCTTGACGGACCACTTCTTACGGTCTTGTTTCCGCCTGTTTTTGCGTGAACGCCTTCAAGGAGATGCACAACAGTGCCACAATTTTCAACAAAAGAAAGAGTACACTATCTGCCATGGCAGCCTTCATCATCTTACTTTCGGAAAATACGATTGAAATGTGGTCTCTACCGTGGTGTCAGCGGAGTTAGTAGAAGCACGGTTTCCCTAATTCACGTCTGCGTGTCAGTTGCACCAATGCTACTACGACAAATCACTTGATGCGCGCATGCAGAGACAAATTACCAAAGCAAATGTTTAGTGGTTCGTGGTAAAACGTACCCGGAGGCTTTCGAGAAAAAGCTATCGCGACTGCTAACCGAAGTGCCGCTGGTTACGCTTCCGGTTTCCGAGAATAGTTCACTTTCTGCGTCATCGAATACTAAAGGATAAAGAATTTAACGCTGAATAGGAAATTGGGATCATTTCCCGCGAGTTGCTATTGTGCTGTTGGTAATTTGGTTTGTGAATGGGTCGCCTGTCGGTGTCACCGAACACTTGGACAAGCAGGTTAGGACTGAACAAATTGAAATGCGCCGTTCCTGGTGCAAATTTACTTACCTTCTCCCCCAAGCTCGTCTTTCGTGGCATTCGCCCTCAGGTCGGCTCTCACTTTCAGAAGGCGTTCGAAGACACGATGGAATTCCTGTTCTTCGTCAGCAAACCGACCGCACAAGTGTTCGTAGGCCTGAATTGCAGAATGTTTGATGACAGACGTCACCAAATCCTTGCCATCGACGCACAGTGCCTAAAGTGGCCAACTTGCACAGTTAACCTCAAGATTATGTTTGAGTTTTAAAAGTGCAGATAGTGCAGCATATAAGGGTCTTCTAATTGGGAACCAATGCAAAACCCAATTATATCACATGGAATTTGTGGGATCCGTTGAAAAATAAGTCTGTTTCGTGTGTGTGAAAAATAGCATTTCCTTCAAGCACAGATTTCATTGCTACGGTGGGTGTGCAGGTCAGGCATTGGAAATCGTTTGAGATGAGGCCAGGATTCGTGAATAATTTCTGCAAGTTCGAATCGGATTTACCAGTATTGAGGCAGTAATGGTTCAGAAAATCTACCCAAATGCCCCACACAGAATCACCCATTAGGGGTTGATTCAGTGTTAAGTTAAACTACCAAACAAGCAAATCCCAGTAGGGAATCTCCACGAACCACATGATTCCATCGACTTTTCCAGTCATTCTAGAAGGTTGGTACTCGAGCTCAAGTAACTTTTAAATCTGTAATCCCAGGTAGGCGGTCGCATTATTAGATAGTCGGAAAGTGGACATGCAGTAGCGTGCCTTAATTATTTAGAAGCAAAGTTACTAAACAAGGAAACGCACCAGTCTTCGTGCCTCCGTCCACAGCCCGCACTCTGTTGCTGCACGTAACGCGCCTTCGTAGTCCTAAGATAACCAACAAACCAAGGTTTCGTCAAACTAGTGAAACCTGGGAGAGCGATTTGCAATTCGAAGTAAGACTGACTCACTTGAAGGTAGTCCGTGTAGATAGGGATCGCTTCGGTAAATCGCCGCAGAGATTTGAGATTCACTGTAAATCAAGCACATCAGGGTTAGGAATGAATGTTTAGTCACAGGTTTGCGTTGTTGGTTTAATCGAGAACCACTAGACGACAACACAAGTCAATACACCATTATCACGGAACCAGATGAGGTTGGAATGTTCCTTGACGAGGGCCCGATTTAGAGATCAGATAAGTCATGAACTAACCGCACCAAAGGACGGATAGTTGTGTAGCACCAAGGCTATGTTACTTGCGTTAAAAAAAACAACCAGAGGTGAAATTACAGGCAAGGCGAGTGGCCTGGCGCCTAACTTCCTCCTCAGGCAACTGCTCGCACTCCCCAAAGGCTGGAGTGCTGCGCGCCGTGTCGACGGTGAGTCGCCAGAGCAGGCAGGAGTTGGTCGAAAGGAAGAGGCTGGCCGCTGAGGCGTAGTGGCCGGCGCGCAGGTGCACCTCCCCTGCGGCCGCCAATCGCTGCGAAGCCGTCAGCGCCTCCGCCCACAATCGGCTGATTTCCTACAAGAGAGGCAGGTTAGCGAGGGTCGTGGATCCGCGCTCATGAGGGTGACCACTGCGAGGCAGGTATGGGGTAATTGGTAGACGCGCGTTCCCCACACTTTTACGCTGATTTCTACTGGTAGCACCTACAGTGCCTTCGCCGCACTCACTTTCACACCCTTATTCGTCAATACATCAACAAGTCGTTTGGGTAGCAGCATTTTTGGGGAGGGGTTAACTTGTGCAAGAGCATTGTGTGATAAGGCAAACTAAGAAGAGGCTTACAGAAAACTGCAAAGTTCGAGGTGTGAACAGTTCCAGCGCCTCGGAAAAGAGCTTCTGCTTCTTAATGACACCGCACAACTCCTCCCAATGTGCCGCGCCTGTTGAGATATGAAATTACAAACGTGTTAGCAGATGAAAAAAAACTTAATTTGAAAGAGAAGTTAAATGTGTTGCCAGACATCTGAATACGGCAAGGTTCACCACAAAACAACTAGTTGTGTTCGGTAAAGCAACTGCGAGATAAACTCAAATAAAAGTCAACTATACAATGACATGCAGTCAGAAATGCTAAGATCGAAGGAGATTCGTTACTGGAGCTACTGTTTCAACCAAACAGGTGACGACTATGCCGTGCCCGTGTGCCTTTGGACTTGACTTTGGTGCGGAGTTAGCGACTTTTTTGTGCCTACCCGAGAGATGAAGGTTTTTGAGGGCTTTTGAGTAGCGTTGCAACAGCAGGTCGATCCGAGCGTGCTGGTAGGCAACTTCCACGTCCCGGGAACACACACCATCCCCGACAAGAGAGCCAAGTTCGCGCAGACAGGGCTGGTACTCCTTCGGGTCCAGCTGGGTCCTCTCGGCCATGGCTTCGGCCAACTCCAAGTCGTAGGTGCCCAGCGCGACATGGAATAGGTTCACTGGACTGAGGTAGTACTGGAGGTGGCGTAAGCCCCGGCTCCAAGTCGACGCATCACCTTTACCTGGTGGACGAGGTGAAAAAAATGTGCATTTAATCTACCTCACACTAGCGCCGCATCGACCAGCAGCTCAATTCTGTAATTGGAGGCAATGTAAGTTCGAGCATAGCCATCTAAGTTCACATACTCAAACTACTACGGAATTGTGCTTTATGCTATACAGAGTAACTGTAAAGAGCGTGAACAGTTGGTTGTCCAATGCGGAAAAGAAGCTACAAAGCAGTACCCCGAAAGTCCTTGAGAAGCAAAAGTCCCTTTTCAACCTCAGAGGGGCACTTCTTCACGTAGCAGGTTAGAATTGGAAGGATGAACCTGAAAAGGGATGAGAGAAGACGAGGGAAAGCTAATACACCAAGTAAGGGAATCCCAATATTTAACAGGGCTCATCACAATAATACAACCATTCAGATTGCTGCATTTTTATTTGCTCTAGTCGATCCACCATTAAGAGGCAGTTTTCAGAACACGACAAAACCACAACAGTCAGTTAGGCCTAATCAGGGCGAACGAGCTGGCACCGTTTTGACACGGGCATTAAAATGGAGCAAAGTCGGGAGCAAGAGCACAGGTGGTTTTTAACTAAGCGCCAATTCGAAACAACGCCAGCACAAAGGCTGTAAATTGAAAAGGAAAATGCTGACATACCGACTTTTCTCCGGTAACATGGCCTTGAGGAGGGCGTCACAGACGAGGTTGACTTTTGCCGCCGTGGGGGGGCAAGGCTCGGTTGAGGCTCCACGCGGAACATCGCCTCGAACTTTGGCGGCGGCTTGGTCGAGTAGACGCCTTGCTGGAACCGGCTTCTTCCCAAAGAACCCGTTGTACTCTGTCTCCGTGATGTCCTCCTCTCTGTTAAAAGGCAAAATAAACTCGAGGAAATGTTTTCTTTTACGGCTGGATCAGCAAAGCTTTTTATTAAGAGGGAATTTAATGGCGTAGGATGTTGCAACACCGAAATTAGTGATCAGAAGTTGCATCACGAGGTTAACGATAACTTCACGGCATTACCTGGTAACGAATTAGCATTATGGTGAAGGTTTATTCCTAAATCTCTGTGCAGGGCTAGAACAAGCAGCCTATCACACTCGCCTTATGCCTTTCCAATGTGAAAAGTCACAATCGAAATTATATTTACGATAACAGAAATCTTAGGTGACCTTAATGCAATGACAGATTGAAAAAAAAAGACCCAGTAATCAGGTATTGGCGTACCGGAGATCGGAGACTAAGAGGGTAATGTGTTCTGTCGAGCCCAATTGGTGCACAAAATTGTGGACATTGGAGAGGAATTTGCGCGGGTTGTAGTCGTAGAGGAGGTTGAAATTTATCCGATGGCGTCGCATCGTTTCAACGGCCTCAGCATGTCGCAGGCTAAGAGGAAGGCCCACAAAAACACGCTTAGACTAATTTGACATTATTTTGACAAGCGCTGCGGTTTGCTTTTTTTAAAAAAAATTAGAAAAAGCTAACAGTACCGGGGGCTAGGGAGTCAATGTGGCGTGATCCTTGAAACTAGAGCAACCTGCAATTGGGTACGGACGACCAATTAGAAGACAGCAAGGTCCCGACCAATCAGAACGTGGCAACGACAGATCACAAGACCGGAGGCCACGGAAAAATTGAGGGCAATCACTGACTTCCACAAGAGGGATTGGAATGTCCAGTATGAATGGCATTGTTCTGTTGACATTGATCATTTTTAGGACAATGTAAGTGTCTCGATTATTTGCAAGCATTTAATAACAACATGGCCTACATCAAGACGCAGAATAGATCTAATACAAAATACTTGCTTAAGCATCACGTTCCCAAGATGGCCCATCGCCGATTTCGTCATTGCTTACACAATTCCCCTTACTACGCTATTCAGCGGGTGAATCGCCCAGAGCAACCTACTTACTGATCATCTGTGTCAATCCGCATAGCGGCATTCTGGCAGATAACTCAGACCTCGGCTGAGACTGCCAAAGCCCCCTGTCCGAGGTTTTGTGTTACATCGTCGTGGAAACAAGAGATCTAGCGTCAGGGAAGGGATCTAGGTGTGTGGTTCGTGGTTGCGAGCAGAAGTACCACTTCGTGTTCAACTGTCTTCGAGCTGTACACTGATTGGCCCAGGTTTCAACTAGCTTGATTTTTCCCCTTTTTAAATGAATTAGTAGGGTCGGGTGCAAATTACAATAAAGCATAGAAGAATGTTTGTGGAAAAACCAAGATGAGATCTGACTAAAACAGACGAATCACATGAAGCAACAGAGCACATCGAAAATCAGGAAGCAGCGGGAGCCGGCCTGGCGACGTTGGCCTACCTGTCAAACAATGGGGTGAGGTAGTTGAACACGAGCGCCCTCGGGTGCACATCCTCGAGATTGCCCCGGGGCATCTGGAGGACCACCTTGGTGCCCCCCGGCACAGCGGTGACCAGGCTCGCGCCCAATTCAAGGGCCCGAGATTGGGCTGAAGACGGGTGTTCAAGGCAGAGGCCTGGAGGCTGATCAGCGGTGCGGCTGGCACACAACCGTTGCTTGATGGTCTTCAGGATTGATTGGACTGTAACGAATAGCGCATACAAGTACAAAGCTGATGTACAAACTATACCTTCGGTGAACCGATTCAAGAGAACGTCTTAGAAACAACACAGGTGTCCAGACCCGCAATAAACCAGGGAGGAATTGACTGTTGGTTTTGCAATAAAATCCCACGAACACGAATCTAGAATAACAGGCTGTACTTACATTCTTCCGGTTCTAGGGCTAAAGGCACTGAAAAGAGTTCACTTTGAAGACTCGTAACGAGGAGGAAGTGCGGGTGAACAGCGATGGAGGAGCAGAGTTGCATTACGCACTCGCCAGCGGCCTGGTGGACGCTGCTGTTCCACTCCGCAGCACACAGGCGGTGAGTGCTAGACTGTAGGCCTACTAACAGAGGCGTCGGCTTGGCCACAGCGCCCGCACACCTGAAGGGCACCACGTAGAGTTGGTTGCAGGCAAAGGGAAGCCGCACTGCCACGTCCTGAACCCCAAGAATCGCCGGTGAAACTAAATCTGGATAGGAATATACGAGATTCTGCAATGTGACCTGGTAAACTTATAGCATAACGACTTATTGTAATTTGAAGTGTTACAATAAATGTATCTAGCTATATTTTGCGAAATAAGTACCAACCTCCAAGGGACTTGACATTGACGATGTAAATGTCTCCATCGCCAACTTGAACAGCTACGTCTCCGTTTGGACCACAGACCAAACCGCTTATGGTAGCGACCGAATTCTCAGACAGTGATGCCAGACAGCTGGGTGTGAATAGAAAATACTAAGCTTTAGGCGCTGAAAAAATATTAGAGAATATAAAGATTTAATAGGCGGATGATCTTACCGGACGTCAAACTTTATCGAGTCTGAGACTACGTGCTTGGACATCATCCCAAGAAAGCGACCGTCCTCGGACACGAAGCACAGGTTTTCAGGTGAAATCCATGTACAGTGCAAAATTTGGCCCTTTAAAATGACATCTGCTTGCTTGTTGACAAACACCAAAGCATCTTTCCTGAAACAAAAGAGATGTAATGTTCTTAAATAAAATCACTGCTGTTGGCGGCCAGTCACTTGGCATTTGCCAGTTGGGAACCCCTTCACTGTGATAAAGAGGGAACTCTGCTTATGTTTATGATAAAAACTCCGATAAAAAGGGTCGATTTTTATTGTCATTTTATACAAGAGTCCGTATTTGACTTGTGGAAGGTTTTGCCAAATTAAGCACTTACGTAAACCGTTAGTAATTCACTAGAATTGGAAGCTACAATGACCCGAGTGAGCCATAAAGCAGAGCAAAACTCACCCCACGATGCAAGCGTCTGAAACGAAGGGAGCAACTTCTTTGCTCACCTGTTCTCTCTCCACGACAAGGGTGTCATTGCAAAGCTTTGTGGCTTTATCCGCCGACTTCCAGCCAGGAGATATCGTGAGCCAGAAGGCTGATTCAGAGTTGCTGAGCTGAACAAACATACTGACGGCCCCTTTGCTAGAAGACGCCCAAAGGCCTGAGAGACTGACTGCGGCAACTGATGCCGGAAACGATAACTTGGTAGCACACATCGGTGGCGGCACCGAACAGTGAGCGAAGCCCGTGAGACGAACAGAGCCTTTGGTAAAATTTCTCGGTGTTAGCAATTAAATAAGAACCCAAGTTTGTGCTTAGTGGAGTACAGGAGAAAAATAGAAAGACAAAGCAACTTACAACCATCAATTACAGCCACGAGAGCAGGGTCGTCGGGTGTTAGAGAACAGCTTCGATCAATGCTACGCACTAGAGACAAACTGCGTATGAGAGCACCCTTCTCTGGACCCAAAGAAACCGCGGTATGCAGTGTTGATGTGCCGGTTTCACTTGCGTTTCCAAATACGAGGGAAATCGGCCCCGGAGTAAGTTCGCGTAGAGTTTCATAGGGGACTAGTGAGAAAACTGCCTCCACATTCCAGTGGTAATTGGATACTGTAAATAGTTTAACTGGAAGAAATAAGAACATGGGTGAGTGGCGGTGACACATCAAGGACCATAGACGTGTCACAAGCGATAGCTGTACCAAAGGGCGTCGCAGATCCGTCATTTGGACTCAGTGGGAGAAACAGTACAGCCATGATGTGATCAAGTGGGTGAAAAGCAATTTTGTCCACACGAAATTTGCTACAATCAGGAGCGTAAAGAAGATCAACCTCTCCGTGTTGAAGGCCATTCAATTCAAAAAAAGCCACTTGAAGGCATCTTCCACTTCGGCGTTTGCTCGCTGCAATAAGTTGCACTTTTGGTCTAAAATAGGAGCATGAATAAAAAACATTTTTTTTCGAAATGCGGGAAATGGAGATCAAGTCGAAAATATGCCCACAAAGACAAAATTATGCACTAAACTTACCGCCAACACAAACCAGTCTCTAGTTCCTTGGTTTCCATACCAACTGATTTAAGTTCTGCGTTAACATCAAAAACATGGAGTCGACGCTGTACTGTAGGCTCGCTTGCATCGCTCCATAAAATAGCAAAAAACTGGCCATCTTCACGCCATGTGATCTGCCCGGGAAGATACGACGTGGAAAGTAGAGGTTCCTTAAGTACAAAAAGATCATGCGGTTTTGGTTTCAACCAAAGTGGCTCAAGAAGAAACAGAAAGAATAAAAATTTGATTGCCATGAAAAAGTTAGCCAAAGGAAGCATTAAAAGAAACAAATATAGTAAGGAACGTACAGTGGGTTCAACCAAGTCTTGCGGTCCTCTTTTCTTTCCCTTGAATTGAGTTTCCTCCTTACCCCATCCAACACTGACGAAATTGCCTTAAAAGTAGGAATTAGTAATGGAAAGACGTACAGTTTCCGCCAAGTTGGGTTAGATTTACCGAACCGACAACTTCCAATGACGAATTCAGGATATATATAATGGAACTTGCTTTACAACATTGAGTTATTACAAAGACTTTACCTGAAAGAGCAACTCCTATGGATAAGTCTGGACAGAAAACACAGTCAAACAAGTCATCATCGAATTCTCGATGTTCGATAATCTTAAAGACATAAGAAATAACGTCACCAATAACTCGAACCTGGTTAGGTAGCTCTAAGATCAGCAGTTCACGGTTGCAGAGAACGCATATAGAGGGAAGGTTCAAAAAAACGATTTTAGAAACTGGTTTATCAGAGTAAAACGTTTCAACGCAATATTTTCCCCGCAGGTGACTAATTCCACTCGATGTTCCAATCCATAAATCACCGGAGAAGCTATCAACGCCAATGTCAGTGACAAAGGTATTTTCAAGTTTACTACTGGAGCACGCGGAGGGGCGAACATTGCGCATTTTATCTGTCAATTGGAAGCGACTATGGTTTGATTAGTTTAATAAATTATGAAGACATACCGCCCACCAAAATCCGTCTAAAAATAAGTTAAGTGTAGGATTTTTAAAATTACATTTATAAGTTACAATTTTAATAGCATTTTATTTAAGTCTTGTGTAAAAAGGCGTTTGCATATGCTGGGTTTAGAAGGCACAATTTTGTGTCTATAATGACAGAGGCAACAAAAATACTTGGCATGAAGTTGATTTAGTGGTAGATATACCTGCAAATCCAGAACACTTTATACTTGTTTTTGCTGGTTTCGGGAAAAAAGTCTCCTGATTGTAATTATTGGTCTGAATTTTTGTGTCCATTTTTTCCTTCTACGAAAATTACAGCATAAAATTGAAATAGATCTCTCATACTGCCATACTAGCCTATGCGATTATGACGTTAAAACACTTTTCATGCATAAAAAGCATTGATTCGTACGGGCGGAATGCCTAATTATAATATTTCCAGCACGTTTTTTAATATTTAGACATCTGCTCAGTTCTTTACAATCTACGAGAACTTTGATGCAAAACAAAACGCTACAAAGCATCCAAAGGCAGCACAGGTAAGTTTTGTCGTGCTGTTTAGGCTAATTGTATTTACAGGATGACATGTGTTTTTGTTGACTGATAGTGTGGAGGGACCGGAAAACGTAGGAACAACTGAATTTTCAAATGATTAACCAAAGTGGTTCCGATACATTGGCAAAGGGGAATGAGTCCGTCGTAACTCATTACTGACGGGTTCATGAACATGAATATAGGCGACACACCGTAACCTTTATAAAACATTGAAGTACGAAATATCGTGCAACCTCTTAGTTGACTGCCAAGTACATCAAACGTTTTAGCCTGTTAGGTGCGGCAAAATTTCTTTCGATTGAAGTTTATTTTTTATAGTGTTTTGGTTAACTCTAAATTTAAGCCACCTCGTTAACAATCCGTAAAGAGAGCAGATAAGTGTGGCTTTGTGGGGGGATGTGTCAATGAAAACTAGGCGACAGATTTTAGTAAAATGATTTTGTGTTAATTCACTAAAACCTTAAGGTTAGTAAAAAGGTCCCATGTTGTAGCAAATGGGCAAGATGCATACAGATAACTTCACTATTAGCAGATGTACGAATGGTGAAGCCACATGTTATACCAAAATTTTGTTAAGAACAATTGTATAAATAAAATAGGCTAGTCGTTTATACTTTTAATATAACTGCTAGACGGCGGGTCTTGTTTGAAATGACCACATAGAGGGCGCCTGGTTCGTAGCGGATTTGTGGCTTGGTGTGTGTGATTCTTGACATTAATGTGGTTCGTCGAGAATGACAATGAGAGATTTTCAGAATTTTCTTTTGCGGTTTTTAATAATACATATCTTTGGTAAACTGAGTTTTACTTTATTATCTGCAAATTTAAGTCTTCTCACTTTGTACATGTAATTTTGTCGATCGAATAGCCCTAAGAGTTGTTGACGGGACGGGCACAGGAAACATTTTTCCTCTGTCTACTTCAAGCATAGGCTCTCATTTTGTAAGTGTGCTTTCTTTATTGTCTGATATGCCAGAATGTATCATTTATATTTGCTAAACTGGTTCCAACTAAGCCAATTGATGCCTGCTCTCGAATCGTTAATTCGAATGAAGTTCAAAATGGAATCGCCTTTGTTATAAGAGGGTTTGTATCTAATTTAGCTAATAGTTTCAGTAAATGTAGTTTTGTGACAAAGGCCAGTTTCGCGCAGGCCGCAGGAGCCGTGGCATTTATCGCTTATGATTACATGAACAACTCCGCTCGAATTTTAAATATGGTCCCTGATGAAACTGCTACTCAAGTATTGATCCCATGTGCTTTCATGCAGGGCAGCTATGCGTAAGTCGATTGTTCTGAGTAGGCTTCTCGTCTTTTATCTTTTGCATTTAATAAACGGTGAAAATAGAAAAAAAGTTACTAAGTATTTGTAGCCTATTACACAAACATCAAAACTTGAAATGTTTAGGCATGCAATTGGATTAAAACCACAAGGAATCTGCACAAAATAAAATGGTACCCGTTAAATTTTGGTTTTTAGGTGGTAAATACTAATCTGTGTTTGGGTAACGCTTTTTTTAATTTGAGCTAGATCATTATCGCAGACTCCAATTCTAGTTTAAGTAGATCTGTTTTAGATACATTTTACAGTAGCCGGATTCGTTCCTGGCTAGGTGATTTCCTACAATGTTGTGCTTTTTCTGTTAATTAATGGTTTATCATTCAATTCCGCCAAGGCAATGCTCCCTTAACACATTGCCTTCGATGAGGCTTTTTATGTATAGAATACGTTCTGATAGTGTATTAGCCGAATTTTAAATCAAGCAATTTAATTGAGAAACTAACATACTATGTCAGTTGTACGTATCATAAGGCGAATTCCATTCAGGTCATTTCGTATTTTAATTTGATTTGGGAATTTATTTAACAACAATAGTAATGTACGTTGATACTTCAAACCATTACCGGAGGTATCCTGACGTAGCAATAGAATCCCAATGTGAGTAATTTAACTGGCTTTCCGCAAATTCGACATTCAGTTTTATGACCGACGTTCACATCACTGTAAATTCACTCCAGTAGATTGCTGTTTTTTCCGTTCACTACGCGTAAGAGTGCTTACTCACATTGCCTTAAATTCGGACACTGCTGTGTGGATTTACGTTAATGAAGGTGTGAAAAATCGCAATTTTCCTTAGAGTCTTTGTCTCGTAATCACGGTTGTTTTCGCTTCAATTTTGTAGCCAAAAACTGATTTCATTGATGGAAGCAGCCAACAAGACGTCTCTGGACGTTGATTTTCCTGTTGACGCCAATGGTGTACCTATTATCGCCGCCCAATACACCCCACTGAGACTATGGTGACTTGTTGTATGTTGCTTTCACTTGTATCTCGTGGTTGCCAACGTTTTGTACCTAATATATATTTTTTTTACATCTGGCCCCATGTTTTTAATTCCATTAGTGAGTTAGGATGACCTCGCGTTGTATGTGATTATTTACTGTTTTGTGAATGCACATATAGCAAATGCATGTGTCTATCTTGCTTTAAGATGCTGTGTCCCTGTGTGAGGTATTTTGACTGACATTGGCTGCACACCTGATTCTCTCATTCCGAATCGTACTTCACTGAAATGCTTAGGTGCTAGATGCCATTGATTAATTTCAGGCGTCAAATGCAATGTAGCGCGTGATCCCTGTTTGACATTGACCAGCCGTTTTTACGTTCCATTTAGTTTATACGTCTGCGTTAAGATCGTAGTTAGAGTCTTCAGGTTGTTCTCCCTCCGTCTGTTTAATGTTGTGTCTAAACCAATTAACTGTTGAGCTGGTGTGAACTGAATGGGCAAGGAAGTTGATATAATTAGCATTCCTGTCATGACAGCAGACACGCAGTACGTGGAGGATTACTCATTATTGCCACTTCGATATCTTACAATTTGTATTACCGAACTAATCTTAGTTAGGTAAGGTGGTAGTACTGACAATAATGTCGATTAGTACTAACTCGGTGTCTCGCGTTTCACCTGCCTGCAAAAGTGAGTTGAACTGGTAAAAATGAAATCTAACAAGGATTAATATTTCAAAAGATCGTGTCTTATTGCCTCACTACAAATTCGGCATTTACAGGCCGTAAATCGGACGTCGGATTTATCATCGTCTTAATCATGGGGCTGCTTTCGCGTCGAGTCTAATCACAATGAATCAAGTGGCATCCAAAATAAGATTAATTTGTGTGAACGTAAGCACAAACGTTTATTACATGGTCTAATCCTGTTGGGTTTTGTCATGCTGTCGTTTACTTTCGTAAATGCCGTGACAAGTGAAGATTGCTGACTAAGGGAGGTCGGGTGAGCTAGTAAATGTAGACGTGCCTAGGCAATATGAGTGGCAGGAGGCTCAAGACCGGAAACCACTGATGGGCGTGATTCGTCACGTTTTGCTGCATATCTTTGTGGTAATTCGAGGACGTGTGTGCAGACCATGTAAAGCAGTGGGGTTTTATTTATGCCATCGGAATATATAAATATGGCCAGACGTTTTTCCCGGAATTTTAGGAAATTTTAGGCTAATAGTTGTTTAGCACGCTAAAGCATTCCCGGAGAAAAAGGTTTTACTGTGTGGCGAAAATAGTGTAAGTATTCTGATGTGCCCACTCATTTCTTTGGGCGATTAGTTGAGTTGACAACACGGTCAATGCATAGATTTGCCTCTTTATATATGTCAAGACAATTGACAATGAACAAATCGCTAAGCGTCAAAATGAAAATTAATAATACCACCGACAATAATTTTATAAAATCTGTCTGTAATTCCACTATCATCTTAGAATTCCAGCTTTTGACAACTACTACCTCACCTACGTACATCACAGTTACTCAGTAAACAGTTGCAATGAGAAGATTTCCATAAATGAAACAGCGTTAGTTTTCAGGATTTGCTGTAAATGGGCAATTTAGTGACAGATTCCTTAGAACTGCTTGAAATTCGTACAGGAATACGGTGACTACTCCTTTACTTTAGTAGTAAGTTACGAAAGTTAAAAACGTGTTTTTTAGAAGTGTAAATGCTTTAAAGTGGCAAAATTTACCATTAACGAGGGAGACTAAATCACATAAAATCATGTAAACTTTGAAAAGTTGAGACGTTTATGAGTTGCACCAACGTAAATTCAATTCGAATAGTTTTTCAACTAAGCTTGGAGCAGTTAAAAAGGTCAGATTAAAGTATTTCAACGGTCATCTGCATAGGAAAATGTCTCATTCTCAGGTGCACTGATTTTCTCGATTAACCTACGCACACATTTAACTAAAACGTGTTTATAAGATGGTTGAAATAAATTGAACTCGAGTTCTTCACCATGTCAGAGAGCTCCATGCCACTGCAAAAGATGTAAGATACCAAAGGGCTAAAAAATATGACTTTCCTTGGTATTTGTTTACATTTCTTTAAGGAAAGCCGAGAAAATGATAATCAAGGTAATCTGAAAGTCTCTTCCAAAAAGTTCAATGTTTGGTTTTATTTCTTAAATAGTGTACTAGTATTAATGAAATTGAGAATTGCACCATGCCTAAAAATCAAAAATACAGATTTCATATCTGGGTATACGTTGAAACTCTAACGTTGAATGGTTTGTTATTTAAATCTAATATTCCATTTTAACTAATGTAATTGACAAATACTACTTTTATTTCTTTAATTAATAAACATAATTACCACATGAAAATTAAACTTTATGAAGAAATGGCATTATTCATGGCTAATACTTTACCCCGAAAAATCATGGGATCCAATGCAATAAGTAGGTTCCTAAATGTTTGAACATTACCTAGAAAAGTAGCTAAGCATAACCAATGGCCATTAGGTATTAAAAGAGCCATATTTGATTCGCCAGTTTTCCAACTCAAGGTCAAGTGTGCTTAGTAGCTTAAGTTTAATCATTTTTTACTATTTTTTTCGGAATGTGATACAATTTTAGTCAGACCTGCACACAATTTTTAGAGTTATACTTGATAAGCTGTTGCATATGCTAGGGTGCTAGAGACGGTGTAAACGTTATGTATTAAATGGCTATACCGGTCATTTATAGGCAATTTAAACCCTCACAATTAATGTTCGAGGATGGTTATCGGAAAGTACTTCTGCCTTATGTTTTCACGTATGCATACGTTTTTTGGTAAAACCGCCTTGTAGGTTTTAGTTTCCATGTAAACGTGTTCTCAAATTTGTAATATGAGCCGTCCACGTTTAGGACCTTTTTATATGGATGCCAATTATTGGCCATGCAATATTTTTCGATATCTAAATCTGGTTTTGTCATCAACATTTATTGCTTTTCTCGTCAGGTTTTTGCGCCTTTGTATTTTCGTGTAATTTGTTATGATGCTTGATAACCTTAAATATTCTGAATTCATGATGAATTCCTTGAGTTACAAATTGACTCATACAAGCTTCTACAATTTTCACATAATTAATTTTCATGTTACTTTTTTATGTATTTGTGTTGGGAATGGGTATCAAATGTGCGAACTCTTCCCCGCCATTTAAAATTTGATACCTCTTTGAAAAAAATTTAAGTTAATTTGGTTCAGTGTTTGACAAATCACACATGCGCACCGTACCAAATTTATCATCAAAAGCTGGTCACAGTACTTTTAGTTGTATGACTTAATTTTTACGGCTTTATTTTTAATAAAAATAGAGAACTACACACTTATTTATGGAAACATTGTCCACCGTTTTATTTGACTGTGCGCTGTCTGAATCAACGTAGGAGTGCCTTAGCAAAAGTCACTTGCAGGCTTCGAATCAATAAATTTATCGACGAATATGCCACGTGTGGGAGAAGCTTCCATCCCAAGTTGAAAAGGATCTTTTGAGTCACTCAAGCAGCCTAAGGTCGAGCCTAGTCATGCAGTAGTGTAACTTGACTGCTTCCTTGTCCAGTAAATTGCCGTTTCTGATCAAGTTCTTCACCCAGTTTGTTCACTTGTCGGTTGTATCGTTCTCCAGTTTCCTGATTTTGCAATCAGGTACACCATTCATGTCCCACCAACTACTTAGAAGAACCCTCATCATGTGGATGTCCAGTTTCCGCGTTGGTATATTGGGTTGCTCGGAACCTACCCACGACCTTTTACGTTTGGGATTCTCGTAAAAAGTATACTTTTATCGCCTATCCATTTTGTTGCCGGTGGGTAAGCAGTGAAAGGTATGTGTTCATAAGTTGACCCAGATTGTGTTTGGTCAACACACGTAGAATCCGACTTTCAAATTAATACATTTTTCCCCTGTGGTGCAAGCGCTGTTCGGGTTACTCCTAATTCAGATGCAGGCTCATGTTGAGTTTGCTTTGAGTCTTTGTCCAGTAGTGCTGGAAATTCCGAATCCTTAAACGTTCGAGGCGCGGCCGATCACTTATATTGAAATCATCACGTCTGGACCGTGTGTGCTACTAATTACACGTTTCATAAGACACAACGTCGGCATCAAGAACACCACAAATTATATCGCGTTCCATAGAAACATTTTTTACTGTTGGAGTTCGTATAAGATGCCGAGCCTTCTAATGTGCTGTTTATCAGTCGCCATAGTAAACTCTACTATTATCAGAGTCAGTGTTCTGAAGCCTTGTGTCTGGTCCTTTCAAAACCACAAAAGACCGCGAAAAAACTTTCTATTTTTAACATAATTTTGAGCTCGAAGTCACACTCCTAACACTATAATCTGTTCGTTTATAGTGCATTTTATAGTCAGATGTCCCGGTATCACTTGATGAGGCCTGATAAATAAAAATTCTTTTTTTTTCTAGTGTATACTTAAGTGTTGTCTGCTCATCATAAACCTCTCTCAAAGGTCATTTTGAGTGTGTATTTCGTATTCACACTTAACCCCTCGACTCTTTTTGTCTTTACTTAATGGCCTTAAATGCTGTTGGTAACCAATGTCTATGCTTCTCTACATTTCAGACAATGCTATGCAACCAGTGTGGGAAAAAGCTGCCGCCTAGTGCGCAAAATGTAAGGTTACTGCTCCCACTCTAACAATTGCTCAGCTTGCTTGTCCGATGTGCAAATTCCTTATGTGCAAGAAGTGTCTTAACTACACTCTTCCAGCAGCCCAAGATGCAAACACCAAGTCCAAAGTCTGCCTTCAGTGCTACGAGCGGGTGACGAAGTAATCACTCTTTATTTCATTTCTCGCTGTATAGAAACCTGCCAGACATAGATATGCGGGAATTCGAACCTCCAAAGAACTTCCTTAAGTGGGTTTTCTTGTTTTTAAGGTCATGTAAGCTAGACGTATTGAAGCCTTAAACAAAAAGCAAGCGGAAAAGCCTCTTCCATCGTCGATGAAGCCAGTTGCTAATGACAGTAAGTTAAGCGTTTTTGTACAATTAGGCGTCTCGTTTTCTATTACAACTGATGGAAATGATATCGAACATCATTTGGCAAATACTTCGACATGTTAACTTTACATGCTACACACACCCACCCACACAAACTGTTATTCTTTTAGCGGAGAAATTTTCTCAGCGGCTGCAGTCTCTACAAGCAAGTGATGTAAGTGTACTAGTGGTAATTTTTCAAATTGTTAAACTGTCTGCTTCTAACTTTTGTAGTTACGACAATTTATTCCGTCTTGGGGTCAGTTTAAGTTTACTGATATGACCATTTGCCTCTGTAACGCTGCAGGTCCTTTATACCGCTTGCAGTAAAAAGCTTGTTTAATCACAATCATGTCTGCTGGCATCCATGAGTCGACAACCAGTGATAATTAGAAAATTTCCAGTAGTATCTACTCATTAAAACTTTATTTAAGCCGAACATTTAGTACAGGCCTGTCATAACAGGCAATCTTTTATTGCACACGCGTTTTACTCGATCAACATTTGATTCTAGTGCTTTATGTTTTTGTGATATCAGCGCAAGAACCTCCCATCTAATGCCGAATTACAAGCTAGAGTCGACGCATTAAATGATTTTGTCGTCAACCGAAGTACTTGTCTGAAATCTACGACCGCAGACGACGCGAAGACTGCAGAGGATGACGTTAATGCTGCTATGGCTCAGGTGAGTTGCTGTGTCGTCTTTCGCCAGTAACTCGGCTTCTGAAGGTCACTGGTTGCTAAGAGTCTACCCTTCGGCTTAGAGCAACGTGATAAATTTAAAAAAATAGAGGTTGTAATCCTCCAGGAGGGCTTGTTCTCCATCGTTAATTCCAAGGCTGCGTGGCAGAAATCGCCAAGCTCTACCAGAATACTTTATAAATGCACCGATTTAAGTGTATCTTTGGTGAACTAGCTGGGTAACGTGATGGATGCAGCCTGTTCACACATTCCACCTACTCGTGCAATTATGGAAACAATTTATTAAGTCCCTGGTGTTTTTTGGCTTGGATTAGGCACTTGACGAGGCGCGACTGTCCACTCGCCATGGGGAACCGGACGCAACGGCAAGTTCTGCTAATGATAGCCCAGTCTACTGTGTCATGTGCGACAACTTAGCCAGTGTTGTGTGTCCGGCCTGTATGGACGAAGAATTTTGTGACTACTGTTTCAAGTAAGTCTTTTTCGGAAGTTGTTCCACCAGTTCTTATGGGTTGATATTTTGACGTTGAAGTACATAGGACTTTTCTTTTCCTCTCTGGTTTGGCCGAAATGTTCTTTACTTGATTCGTTTTTTCCAGGCCTTTGTATTAAAACCAATGAAATAGGCTTACTTGGGGCATACAAATATCATTAACTTTAATTTCAGGCATTCAAAAACGTTCGACGTCAACATTTTCCCTTTTAGAAAAGGCCACAAATCCAAATCAATGAAACGCCACCAGGCGGTTACCATTAAAAAATCGTCAACAAACTGATCCGTTCGAACATAAATCGACACTCCCGTTTCTTTTTCCTAATTTTTTTATTGTCCAATATTATAAAACAGATGTTTTTTGCCATTAAATCACTTTTATACTCAAATTCTAGCATTTAGTAAGGTTTGCATCAATCAATTCGTTTGAATATAAGCACGTAAATTCGGAGTTGGCGCTAGCACGTACATTTTTCAATTACTTTTTCTTCCTCTTCGTCTTTTGCGACATGTGCATCCTTGACACCAGATATCTTCTGGTATGTGCTCGAGTAGTAATCTAATCCCCTCTGACTAAAAGAGATGGTAGACGATAAGAGGAATAGCCATACGCTTCTGCCAGGAAGGCCTCCTTTGTTATCTCATTCCGACCGATGCCTGGAGGCATTATGTCGTAATTTATGATTCCAAGGGTCTCTAATCCGTGTTGATATTGCTGATATGTGATGAAGCCATTCATGTTTGGATCAAGCATATTGAATATGGCTTCTGCATTGGCCATAGTGAAAATGAAGGGGTTTTCACCGTGTCCATGTTGGGCTTCTTTCAGCTTCTCAAGTACCTCTACCATAAACTTGAAGGGATTTTCTGCAAAAGAAATTTGTTTATTGCAGGAGGCATGATAGGAAGTGTTCGGCGCTGATATAAATGAAAAAATAGACGAAGCTGGTTGATATCTGACCGCCTGTTAATGAGGTGGAAATTGATCAATTTAGGTAGGGAGGGTTACTTTATTACTAAAAACGTTCCTTACGAAATGGGATAAGCTGTAAGGCAGACACATGAAAATCTTTAACGCATAGGTATTAGCCAAACTGGCTTTCAGCTGGAACAAGTTTTACAGCATTTTAAAAGCAAGATAAGAGATCCATATTTAGACGAAATTCTGCTCACTACACCAAAAGCTGAGTTTTGAGTAGATGCTTTTGTCTTGCACATAACTTGTGAACCTACAACAGTAATGGTGCATGACTGTTGATTTTCGAACCAGTTTGTCCGTAGGCTATCCAAAAAAGCACCGAAAACTAACTTGCCTGGTCTATGAAAAATGACTAAGCTGGTAAGATTTTGCAACAATTCAGGAATGCGTTTATCTTTAAGATACTTCTCAGCTTCTTTGAATTTTGGACACTGCCTGTAATCCATATTTTCGCTGTTTACATGATGCCATGACCTTGACGTTTAAACAAGGCATTGGTGACTGCAGTGTTTGTCATTAAGTTTAAGCAGACAAAGTACTAAATACATTTTTAAAAATTAGTCATTATCATGGCTAGTGCCCTGTTTACGTATAATTGTAAAAAATATTTAAAATAACGTCCTTGAAAAGTTTGAACGTTTACCATTTGTGTACAAGGCTAAAGACCCACTTTTTCAGCGAATTCAAAATCTCCAATGAAGTCTCGAATTCCATCAGAATTCCCCGAGGACAATGCTGAGCTCAGCCAATGTATGAACCACAGTTCGCAAATTCATTTTTTTGATAATCTGTTTGAAACTTCGCAACTTCTTCTTGATGAGAGGTCAAGCGCAAAAAATTGTCAACAATTATATTCTCACCTGAAGGTCGCACATGAAAAGTTGCAGGTGCATTTCTATATTTCTAAATGAGTTAATGATTATATTCTGATGACATAATTGGCATGAATGAACCTCTTTCTCAAAACTTTTAACTAGTTGTAGATTGAATTTAAGCAACGAGAATCATTGACATTATTTTAATGTTTTTGCCGTCCTGGAAGCCATTACCAATTTTTTTTTCGCAGTCAATATTTTTCATCCCTAATTGCGCTACCGACGTTTAAGCAGTTTTGCATATGTTTACATTAACATATTTGGGCGCTATTTTTTTGTCTGAGAACTCTCACGAACTAATAATTTCCGTATAGCCGGAAGGAGTGTATCACTTTAATGTCTACTTTCCCATTCCTGTTGCTTTTGAGCACAAGCAAATTGATTTTAGTGAAGCATAGGCCCTACAAGTCAGTAAGGACGTGTAAGTTTTTAATCAAACGCACAGTAAGTTGTTTGCGTAATGTGTTCGTGGGCATATTTGGAGGAATTTATGAGCAGACACAAGTAGCCACGAGTGTGTGCGCGAACTAATTGAAGTTAAAAGTAACCCTACTTGTGTGGGTAGGCTTTAATTAATAAGCCTATATTGACAATTACCTGCGGTTATCTTTTTTGTTCTGATCGAGTGAGATAAAAATTACTCTTTGTTTCCTGCAGCTGTCTCCTATTAGCCAGTTTATATATCTCCCTTAATTGTAAGGATATAGAGTGCGCGGTTTTATACATTTTAGAACTCTTATGCTGAGTTAGAAGCACGGTTTACTTCCTCCTTGCGGGAATGGCTTCAGGAAAAAAACATTTTGAGTGACCAAATTAGCAAATTATCTTCAGAAAAGGATCAATTTGAGGCACTCTGTGTTGCACTGCAGAAGAACACACTAACTGCAGAGAGATTGGAGTTAATAAAAAACGAGGTTTGCCACAAATTGAAAATATGAGTCTGCAGCCTTAAATGCGTGTTGCTATGGTGCAACTTTGCTTTTAAGATAAGGAATGACTGCCAAAAGAAATCTCAGAAGACTTTTGTCAAAGCTCTCAAAGATGCCGATGAGGCACGAGCAGAGTGTCAGAAATCAAAGGAAGAACTGGAAATAATTCGGGCAGAATTGGAACAACAGAGGCTACGTTCAGAAAGAGAGCAGGAGAAATATGCGTTGCTGCATGGATCGGAGGTTTGTTTTTGTATAAGATCAAATGGCTTGATAACAGCAACAAGTGGGGATAATTTTTGACTTACGTATTGTTTGGTGCCAGGTTGTGTAATTTTGCTTCTTTATTTCTTATTGCCTGCAAACCACTTCTTAAATATTAAACAGCAATCTCTTATCAAATAAAATGTTTAAAGGCTGTTGTAAGTGCAAATTATCTTGCAGCTGACGAAGTACACTAATAGAATGAGGCATAGCCTATTATGCTTGTATGACCCGACAAGAACACTGCGATTCGCTTAAAGTGTATAAGTTATTTATTCATCGATTTGGTGAAGAATTCGTTGTTGTAAAAACTTAATCTTTGTATGGTTTAATATGTTGTTTATTTCACTTTTGCAACATTTACACTCATATTTGGAATTATTATTAGAAGTTATCACGAAGTTTAAAAAAATACTTATTTGTTTATACATTTAATGTATATCCACAGTACCAGTATCTACTTCTAAAATTTTGATTCACATTTTTTGATCCAGGATTTCAGAAAACACGATTTTTTAAAATTTATTTTCAAAAACCAGCTTAAAACCATGGTTGAGGCACACGAGGATGTTGTGAATCGGCTTTCGTCTCTCCTCGGCTCCGACGCGGAAACGCTTGCTGCTTTGTATCGGCTAAACACAGAAATGCGAGCTAAATGTAACTGTGCTCTTGATGAGGCGCGAAAATCCCGTCTCTTATATGACACACAACTGTGAGTTTGTTGCAGATATCGTGAACATTCATTCGTATTCACATTGTTTCCGTTCTACTATTTGACTTTCTATCTACCATATTGCCAAGATCTGAACTAAAGAATGAGCTCATCCATGTGATTGACCAACTGAAAAGATCCAATTCGGAAAACTCAACATTGAAGGCAAAGTGCGATGCTCTTACTGAACAGGTGACTTGCGTATTTTTTGCAAGAAGGCGAAGAAGAAGAAAATATACAGCTGATGGTTGTGGTTCTATGATTTTCTGTCAAATCTAGGCTGACATGCTCAAAGGGAGTCTAGCTCGTACACAGGCTGATTTGAAAACGTCTCGTCAGAAGGCCATCGATTGTGAACAGTCGAAGTTGAACACAGAGAAGCACTTTGAGAAGCTTCTTCAGCGCTCTCGGACAGAATTAAGCGACTATCGAGTTGAGTTCCAACGCCAGCGGGTGGATTTAGAAAAACAGCGTGATGAGATGGCTTTTCGGGTCCAAGGGAAGTGTTAAATTTGCCTGTTCTATTCGTAAATACAATTTAAGGGGCTTCCATTAGTACAACTGCGACTAACTTAAGAAATCGTCTTGTACATTTTTGCTGGACACCTTTGAGTTTTGAATTCGCCATTTACCATTTACTTGTAAATTTCTCCAACCTTGACGAAATCAAGCTACTGTTTAGGAGTATATTTTGACAAAAAAATACATTTTTGACTTTTTTCTCCTAACAGAACTAACCAATCAAATTGCTATAGCGTTTGCCAAATTTGAAGAGACAGAGGAAATGCATAGACAGATGGAGCATGAGGCAGAAACGAGGGAATCCGACCTGCGAAAGAGCGCTGCGGAATTGAAAGCTGAGTCAGACGAGCGACTTGCGAAAATGCTTCGTCAGCTCGAGCACACGCAAATGACTCTGCAGGAATCGACAGCACACCAAAAGAGCTTGGCATTAGCACTTGCGGAGGTAAATTTGGTTGCACTCAAATTACGTCCGTAAAATGCCCTAGGCACGTTTTGTTATGGGGAAATAGCCGAGTCTAGTTTAGTAAATAGCATTTTATGTCAGTTATTTTGGGGCTCGACGCTCATTTTTCAAATGTAAAATTGGATTTTATTACAACTTGTGGTTACTCGGTGTGTGTGGTTGCGTTGAACACCAACGGGCAACGAATTTATTCAAATGACGGGTTTTCGTGTCATTTAGAGACAATTGTACTAAACACAAATACTCGGCCACTAGTCGTTTTTTTTTAATTTTTCATTTTTGTGCATCATGTTTTCACAATTAACCAAAATGTGGAATGAACGTGCATCATGACGTCAGATTACTGTCTCGATTAGTTGATTCGTAGAATTCAGGTTCACGCAAAAGTCCCCACGGCATTAAGATTTCTGTCCTAATCCTGCAAACGGTCTTAAATTTTTACTCAACATCAACGACGGAATCTTACGGCATTGTATTTTTTTAATTGAAAAAGTTAGCCACTTCACAGTGCAGCAGAGCTACGACATTTTGACGATGAAACCACCTGCTACTGGATGTGTAAAACTTGTTCCTTGATATTTCCGCAAAAAAATATTCAAGACGTTTACTGGTATCGCTGTGTTAAATGATCACTTGCCTACTTCGGACGTAACAGCTGTTCACGGATTGAGACCCCAGTTGTATAAGTAACGTTGAAATTACCTGTGTCTTTACTTGTTTGCGATCTTAACTTGCGCATCACTTTAGATGACAGAGGAATCAAAGTGTGGTAATCAAAGCTCTAACAAATGTCATAACACAATGCTTCTGATCCTTTACCTAATTAGGATCAGCAACTTTGGCACTGAATGGTAATTACCTGGTGCATTTAGGCTGCTATACTGTTTTGCAATGCAAGATTCAAAAATGTAGACGAATCTCTTTGCTTGGTAACTGGAAGCAACGTTTGACATGCCACCCAACCTTCTTATCAAAACCCTCCACGATTTCGCCACTACTTGGCTATCTGCCCAAAGCGTACCTTCTGTCCACCAAGGTTGTGCTTACAAAGTTTTTTATTTGCACCCGGATCTCTAGTCCGAAAACTCAAAGAACGAGGCCTTGCGCAAGCTCTCTAGTTTGACGTCGCAAAATGACGGACTCAGAGAAGAATTGACGAGGACAAAGCAAGAGTTACGTGCTAGTCAGAGGGAAATTGCCAGTTTAGAGTCGACGCTCAAGGAATTGTCGACACATGAAGCACAAACGCTTGAGAGGGTAATGTGAATTAGGTAGATGTCTTGACGACGTTAAGGACCACACGAAAAGCGGTGCACAAGCAGAAGGCGATAACGCGTACGAATTAGCAGGCGTCAGGGAGGCATACTCGCGTTCACTTGAAAAGTTGAAGTCTGTAAGTTTGTAGTTTTAGGATAAAATGCATAGATGTCTTTACCTCATAAAGAGTTTCCAAATTTTATGACAGCAAAAGTCAGCATTATTGGAAAGAATTCGAAACATGTGCACCGAACTAGGTAAAAAGAATTGTGAATTGGAGCAACTGCGTCAAGAAAACGCTAAACTCCGGTACAGTTATTTTTAAACAAGATATCAATGTGCTAAGCAAGAAATATTCTATTTTAAATTTCACTGTTTTCATTTTTTACAGAAACTCAGTGCCTCGGTCAGACTTTCTGAAAATTGAGGCCCAACTTAAAGAATTTAAAAGACGCAAGGAAAGCTACTGGCTTCTCCTACAGCAAATAAATGGCATCATTCCTGAAAAAAATTAAAATTCTGTTTTAGATATTTCGTTCAGTTGATCGTTTTTCTACGTATTTCCAATTACACATCGCCACTTTGTGATATATTAAAGAAGATTAAAAGGCAACGAATAGCAGCCAGGTTATTTTTCTTTTCCAGACCCTGGTTGGTCCAAAAATAATTTCCGTAGCCGATGAAATCGCAAATTTCATGCTAGGTAGTCTCTCTCTTTCATTTCGTCACAATTCCTAAAACCAAAAGGGTACCTAAGGGGGCACTTGAATGGCGATTATAATCTCAAAATTTCATTTTTAAAATTAGAAATTAATTAACCACACAAAGAGAAATATGGCATTTGCTTTGGCTGGTGAAATAATACAACCAAAAGTGTTCAGGTACTACTGAACCGGTAGAGATATAAGTGCACTAAAGGTGTTCCGACTAAAAGAAATACTTTGAAAATAGTAATTTCATAGCCAGTGTTTAATATTGAAATCTAGAAATAAAGGAGTGATCATTTGTAAAGCTTTCATGATCATTGACGACATTCTAATCGCACATATCGTTTGTTTGAAAACTACTTTCTTCTCAAAAAAATAGGAAGACTGACATTTTATTCATGACGCCAACTTGGTGACAATGTCGTTCGAAGAGTTTTGCTGTGAGTCGTGTTTATTCAGCTCCTTAATCCAATCGATTCGCCTCTGATACAAGGTTCCCCTTCTCGTAGCATGGCGAAAGCCGCGCAAATCCTTAAACCTCCCTTCAATCACACGTACATGTATCTTGGATTAGCCTCATACACAGATCTCGATGTTAGCGCATCTATGACTCACGCATCCGAGGTATAAATACACAGGCACAAACCCGACACAACGACACCAACGGGGTTGAGCTCTGAAATAAACGGTTGTGTCTCGTCATCTCCGGTCTTCTTCTTCATCGCGGGCATCAGGCAAGCGTAATCGGGCTAGGGTTAATTCCGTGGCCCCGGCGTGGATCGGACCACATGCTGGGGCCCACAACAGTTTCAAAACAATGAACCTGGTTTTTCATTTGCATTGCTTTCAGTTATCTACATAGATTATTAGGAGAAGAGATAATCGTCGTGTCCACCTGCAAAGCAACACTGAGTAAAAATTTAAAAAGCCCTCCAAGAAATACATCACAAAAATGTAGGAGAGATTGTTTTCTCACATGCATTGGCAGTTCAGTTAAAAAACCACTTGACACTGGAACAAGGTATCAAGTTAGGAAAAGCAATATCTGGCTCCGTTAAAAGTTCATTTTTATCAAAAGAAATTCAATACAAAATTAGCTCGGGATTGGGATTGAGGGAAAATATTTGGATTACCCACGATTTAAGTCATAAAAAGGACTCACTAAGGAAAGTACTAAGCCTTCTACCATCACTAAAAGGTTGTAAACAGGGACATATGTTGATCCACAGAAATTATGTTAAATAATACTTCTGATTTAAAACCAGTGATTTTTATTTTTACCAAAATCTCTTCGGATATATGAATTGCTGATTTTAGCTTCCAGCATTCATTGACTGCTTGTGTTCTATAGTTGTCAAATCATTTACATGTCTTTCATCATTCAACCCATTTTTTCAAGAATTATAATGTATTAGTTATTGTCAACTTTTTTTACTTAGTGGGATCGATCTTCGGAATTTAAAATATTTATAAATTGTTTCAATAAACATTCTCATCACAGTTATTTCGCAGACAAGCAAATGTGTATAAGTTTCCAAAGGTAATATTCAGAAACAAACTGCCTAATTTAAAGCAACAGGAAGGATAAAATGATTATATTAGGACTTCGTGGAGTCTCACTAACCCTTATAACTGATTCGCCAAGCTGTTGGCGATATCGAAAGTTGATTGGATAACCAGAGGTTTAATAACTGCGCTGTATGAACGGGTTTCGTGTTCGTTAGGGTTGTTGTCGGTCGTCCTTTTTTTCGTGTACGTTTGGTAGTGCATTGATATTTTGTGGTTTTGCTCATGGTTCACCTATACATCTGTTTCTGATTTTCACGTTTCCTAACTATGCACAAATTGTTAGTGTGATTAGTTTTAGACTTCACGTACTTTTCATTTAACAAAAAGATTAAAATCTCTTTAAGAAGTTCTTCGATGTCCTAACACAGCGCTTAACTTAGTCGCATGTGAAACTACCATGCTCCCGAAATTGCTCTTCCAATTTTTTGACGTCTAGTACAAATATGTAATCTTAATAGCAATTTACCCCTTGATTGTAGGAACAATATTTATCGTTTGATTTTTTTGATTATCGATAACAAAATATAATTTTTACACCGAAAGAAAACTTAGGCGTAGACAGTCTGTATAATTTTTTGGCTATTCATGTTTTCTGGTAATTGTCAGGTTCGTGTGCTGTCCCTTCTACTTTGCATGTGCTTAGTATTTCATTATTGCGCTTTTCAGTAACCATGATAATAAAGTCTTTGTCGATCGAACAAAAGTTTTATGACCGCTGCCTTCAACAGAAACCGATGCAATATGGCCTAATTGTCAGTGGGGTAAGAAATCATTTGCAAATATTTTTCCAGTCCATAAGAGATGAGGAATGTGTATTTCTCCTTCTGGAATCCACCGAAAAGAACTCTGCCGTTACTAATCTAGATGGTATAAATACCGAAGATCTAAGGATTGAATGCCAGAGAATATGTCGTATGTTGCCAACTGGAGCACGGGTTTCTGGTATTTACTTTTGCGGCTCTGTCAACGCGAAAGAGTTGGGTTCTCGCGTGAAAGAGGTAACTGTGCTTTTTCGATATTAAATTCTCTTTAGCTGTTGCATGTTATTTATCGGGCTGAAAAACATCACTTGACTGACAATTTTATTCCACTTCCCGAACGCGAGAAAGTCTTTCTCCACGTTGACCCATTATCAAAAAAGTTTGTCACTTTTGTAACTAATTTCTTCCAGGCTATTGGCTAAAACGATTGGATTCACTCAGGCAAAGGATTTCTTGAGACCCATTGATGTTAAGGTTCGCCCAGTTGTCGATCGCTGGCGGTCCATTAAAACGTACACAACGCTGTCAGTGGAGACAAATCTACCGCCTGAGAGGCAAAAGGAGAAGATCTTTGACGAACTCCAGGACGCCGTTAGACCGTTTCTTCAGGCAGTGCATGAAAGAACTCGACTTCTTGTCAACGGGGACATGAAGTCAGACACAGATCCTCTTTTCTCGGGAAGATCCCAACGGGCGGCCGTGAAGGCCCCTCGTCACTCACGGCGCCACAAAGACGCCTACTCAACGAAATCTGTTAAACAGGATTCTTCTGAAGAGGCTCACCATGCCGCACACTGGGACCCCTCTACCTTTACTCTGTTTGGACCCGATGTAGGTGTTTATTTTCATTCGTTTTCTTAATCCATCATTGGGTTTTTTGTCTTGTTCTTAAACTTTCCACATGTCGTCTTGACCCTTAATACGTCAGAGAAGTTTTTTGCGTAGATTACAAACTAAATAGTTAAATCGTTATTACTCTGGTATGATCTTTCGCCAAGAGTCATAATCCCTCTTAGTTTCCCTGCTGGCCCCGAACAAACTCCTGTTCATCGATCGATTCGGGACACGGATCTGAGGCCTTCCCTACACCTACTGACAGTCCGCTACCCGAAGGTACAAAAAATCTTATCATCCACGGACGCATTCCTGGTCTCGCCTTTCTCCCCGTCGATGGAACCACCGTTAGTGATGCTCTTAAGGTACACCCTCAACCTGGAATTCCCTTGTGATGATTTAAGTTCTCTGCCCCATTCTCCAGTATGTTCTGATTTTGCGCTAGCTTGTGAGCAAAGCGCGTCTGTGAAGTCTTTGTGCTTGATAATGAGTCTCATCTCTAACCACCTTAATTTCGAAACGCAATTTCTTAAGATGCGCACCTTAATTTCATCCATTTCTCAATAAGCGTGGTGAAGTTTATTTGTAAATTTCGAAGTCAAAGGTCACTCTGTTTGACCAACGCGAGAATTTTACTCGGTTCGCATCGAACCAATTCGTCCACACACGATCATGATCGAAATCGTAGTTAGAACTGTGTTTTGTTCTTTCCTACTAACACAAAAAGTTCATGCACCCACATTGCGGCAGGTTAGCCTAGAGATTGTTGAAAGTACCCTGACCTACAACCCAAATTAGTTTTTTTTAAAACGACCTGATTCCTTCTTTAAACGCATTTCTTTTGCACTTCTTAGGCCTTCAGACGCGATTTGATTCACAGCGTGTTACTGCGACTTGAGCTGCTCACGGAGGAGTTGCACATTACCAGTGGAGAATTGGAGGGTGAGCGCGTGATTTCTCAACTTGAACCAATCATTTAGCATCCTTTTTTTCACTGGCAAAATAATATGTTGGGTTGGGTTGGCTATTTTTTTTTTCGATGCAAGCATTCTACTAGTGATGCCGTAGACAGGAGTTCATGTTCTATAATTTTACCAGCCCACTTCCTGTCGACTTGCTGCGTTAACTAGCCTAATCCGATGTCCAACATCCGTGCAAAAATGTCACATTCTTGCCAGCTATCCCCTTTTAGCAGTTTCCACGCATTTTTGTGTGTTGTCTTCCGTTTGTGCAAGACAGATGCCAACAAATGTGTTTCATTTGTTCTGGAGTTGGTGGTGGGTTGCTTAAACTGAACTGAGCCTACGTTGAGAGCTAATGAGCTCCAGAACACATTCTGACTTCAAGTTTGATCCGCTCTACACGTCGGTTCTAAACGTATTAACACATTCCCTGCACACGGCTTAACTTGTGGGGTTCGCTTAATTCGTTGTACACGCAGGATCATGCCACCCTTCTAGTACGTGGCCTTTTTAAGTCACCCTGTAACTTGGTAATCTCATTATCTTGTGTGTGTGTGTGAAAAGTTGACTTAAAAGACACGTCGTGAGTGTCGATGCATTATTAGCTATATCGGGTGACAGCTCGGGTGTTTTTTAAAGGTCATATTATTAACTAGCAGTGGGTTTTTTTGAAATTTACTTTGTGTGCCGGATAAAGTTTCTACATAGATGTCCTCTAGAACTCAATATTTGGATTTCGCATCAACTTGAAGCGGTGTTCCACTATCATTTCTCTCCGCGCTTGTCAATAAGTCCAGTGGAAGCGAATGATGGTTTGTGCGTAATGGCATAACAAGGCGTAGAAACTGGAAGTGTGGAATTGATGTAGCAGAATCTGCGGAAAAGGCTGAGCTGTGTCTGGTGGGGACTTGCAAGGAAATACTTTTCTTTACTGGTTCCTTCCGCGCGGCCAATCATTAACTGCGTAGGATTGCTGTGAGCCAATTAACGTCCAGATTAGGTTGATCGAAAGGACGCTGTCCTTGACCATACCAAGGCTAGGTCACATGCCACGCGACGGACACTCCGAAACTTAGAGAGTTAAAGTTGGATCTCCTCCAGCGGCATCCACCGTATTCTCCGGGCCTTGCGACTTTAGTTCTACATCTGTTTCATTCTTTTCAGGATTACATAAATGTTGGTTTAATGGGAAAAATGCAAGGGCTGCCTTGTTTGGCCAGAAGTCTTACATTTTCTACAAATTTAGAAATCTGAAAATCGCTAAACTACTGCGGATAGTTACAGAGGGTGGTGTAGAGTACGTGATTGATCAATTGATACTCCTTTTCGTGACATTTTGCTGCATTTGTTTTGGTGCCATGTTGGGTCCGGTAGTTCACTCTGCCACAGTAAATGCACTTTCGTAGTTCCTTAATGCCTTCGAGTGGGTGGCGTTGTTTAGAAAGCCCTGCCTCATTAACCAATGGTATTTCTCTTCAGGCGCTGACCTCAAAACGACAATCTTATTCGAAAGAATTGCTATTTACACATCCTCTGTCATAAGGCCTATGCGGTGGAATCCAAAAAATTCTCTTGATTCCCTAGCCAATCCCGGACTGTGGTGTTTGCCAACCGGTTGTATTGAGGGATACATCATTGTCGTTCATAATTCATTCAGTTGCCACATTCTCGTCACTTGGCTCTACTTGGTTCGTGTGTTTATTTATGTTTTATGGCCTTGTGACGAAGTGATGCCTGATGACTGTAACTTATCACACACACACACACACACACTTGTGTTCACTTCTTGATCCTCAAGTCTACTTTGCGATCTGGCAAATATGGGCGGGTGATCTATTGTCGAAGGCCAACAATCCGGTCATTTTGCTCTGCACTTTGTCACTGACGTTTTGGCCGTTTGGGCGGTCTGTTTTAGAATTTCGAGCGATCATTTCTTGGCCGTGTCGGGTTCACAATAAGCCGAATCCCCTTGTTCTTGCAATTTCACGACCAGTTCAAATCTGTGCGCGTGTGTGTGTGCTTGTGCTAACCCGTGTATGTGGTTTTAGCCTGGCCGTCTTAGCGGCTAATCTCTTGTCAAATTGTATGCACATCGCGATTAAGCTAGCACAACGTATCAACGATCTATCCGTCTTTATTTACCCCCTTTCGATTCTCTTTGCAATCGGTAATCTTACTCTTAAAGCTCTGAATTTTACAAGATCTGTCACATCCAGTGACTGGTGATATTGGCATTCAGCAAGGCGCTATAATCACGCACGACAGCGCGATTAGTTGGTAACATCACACGTCCGAGGAGAATATTCATTTTAACCCTCGAAATAATTTGAAAAGAACTACCAGACTGAGTGACGTCTGAAATTTTCAGAGTCCCCAAGCTCTTTCTCCGCATGCGGATGCACTTTTCAGAGTCGCGCGAGTGCATTTAATCAAAACGTAAGCACTCGTGAGTCAAGTAATGTGTCCATTAAATTTTGCCAAGTGACTTACACCTTGTGTTGAGAGTATTTTCGGCGAAACTGCCTTGTCTCTGCTTCAGCTGTCACCAAAATGTCATCTGCCAGTATGCATTGATTTGCGTACTTAGGAATTGACTTTGGAGCCCACGCCGTTTCTGTCAACTGCTCTAACGCCTACTTTTACTGCCGTTTTGAAGTTTCTCGCATTCTTCTGCCCCAACGCGTGCTTATTCACATTCCCGCCTGCCCGGCCATCCCGCTTTCTGACTACAAATTCGTCTCCGAGACACCCGATGACGTAGTGCGACGCGTCGCCATGTTCTGCCGTCCTCTGGGCAGTCCGACCATCGTGGAGCGCGGCGGCAGTGCCGGCGACGACCGCGTCTCCACCGCCGACAGCGGCGAGTTCTCCTCCGACTCGGACTTCAACGTGGACTCCGGCGAGGAGGCCGGCGGCAGACGCGGTTCGACTGCAACAGAGCCCGCTTTCAACGCCTCGTGTCTCGACACCTGCCTCGAGCGCACGTTCGAAGGTAACCGATGGCAGTGACGTTGTCATGTCGTTTGGCGACCCTGTGATTTTTATGTCCACACCACTTGCAGCGTTTCATCCCCTGCTCGAGGTCGCAGCACAAAGTCGTCGATTGGTTTGGTCCAAACTACTATACTCACTTATGCGTGTTGAGTTTGTTCGTGCTCATAGATATCCTGGTCGCCATTATTGGTACCTGTGCCATCCAATCAGTTTAACGTATGCCAATATAAAAAGTGACCCGATGATGGAAGGTTCCAGCCATCTTCTGGTTTTGTTGAACACGTTTCCAATGTGGTTTTCCAATTCTGACTGCACTAATATAGTCACACCATAGTGCAGTTGTCATGATAAAAATAATTAACAATCGTGTTTTGCGCTGGAAACTGCTCCATTGCAGAACGCCTACATAATCACACCGAATCGACAACACGCCCTCCTAGTTGAGCAACTCAATCGTTTCCATTGTGGTTTTTTGGTGGTTCCCACAAAGTGATGATTACTGTCAAAATGGGACGATTTTATTGGGTTTCAGTTGTACGTCGTAAATATTAGTTGGTGGTGTTAAGTCAATTTCTCTCAGATTCCTGCAGAGCCCAGATATCGGGCGTCTGATCAACTTCGGTGTGCTGACCTGATCGGTGTTAGGTCACTTGGAAAGAAAATAACAAACCTTAAAATTCCACTCCTGATCCTCGCAAATTTCTTGTTTTTTACGGTAATCGCAGCAGATAGTCGTTAAAAGTGACAATACGAATGACGCCCACACTATTGATACACTAAAGCTTGCTACAACCTATCACACAGTGTGTGGTAATCTTTTACTACTGATAGACGTGCAGTTCTTTGTCGCGATCCATTCGTTACTCGTCAAGTCACGGTTGATTCTGCCGCAGTTTTAGCCTAAACACGACGCTAACGCGAGGTCTTACAGCGCGGAAACTGGATACCCTCACGCAAGGCTCAGTCACCCCTGATTATCAAGCGACGTGATTCGCACCTTCATATTCTGTCTTCCGACCTGCTCTCTTTCACTAGCCGGCTCATCAAAAACATCCACCACCAACCTCGGCCCTTCTGACTTTACAGCTGCGGCTTTGTATTCCTGACATTGTTTAGCGGAAGGATGTTTTTTTGCTGTGATGTCCCTCAAATAGGAAATTTTGGGCGTGGCCGAGTATGACACCAGTCACTTCCAAGTGTTACAATCGGCCTCTTGACAAAATGATAGTGGTTTTTCAGCGCACGCCTCACAATGGTGGTTAGCGATGGTCCCTTTGAGATACATCGTAATTTACGAACCTTTGGCATGCCTTTCTCTCGCTATAGATAAATTCAATTTCTACCTTCTGTCAGGTTCCCTGGAAGCTGAAGTCTCCGACGTGGATATCATCGCGGACATCGAGGAAATGGCACATTCAGTCTCTCAGTGTAAGTGACTTCGCCATCACCTTTGATACTGGCGTCACTGGGACAACTTGTGTGGGAAATAACAACAAAGAGTAACTGTCACTTTAATCATTTTAGCCAAGGGAAAGATTCTTCTCTTCAGCGGCGCTATTGCGGCTGTCATCGTCAGCCTATTCGTGGCGATCTACCTGGACCTGCTGCAGGTGTAATTTTGATTGGCTCCCATTCCCTGCCTATGATTTCTCCCGTCTGTACACATTGTTCTGTGCACCCCCTTTCCCCACACGGCCCGCATTCCTGCTGTTATTTGTGTACGTGGGTTTTCGTTAGCTCCCTCCTTCCGGCCAATCACTCTTTTCGCTGGTTGTGCTCCAGGCCATTGCTCCGATGTCCAGCTTTATTTAGATGTGCGCCGGCTTCGTAAGGTGCACAGTATCAATAAATACCCATAAAATCCCTGCCGATAATTGTCAACATTCTTCGATGGTACTTGTTAAAATCATTTCAAGCCGCTTTGACCAACCACCACGTCGGCTGGGTAGGTATTAGCATATAAGACGGTGAAGTGCATCAAGTTTCATGTACAAACTGGGACAGATCTACACAGAGGACCGAGCACTAGCAGGTGTTCTTCACATTTTTTGGTCTCTTCACAGGCGGCTCCCATTGCTGCGCGGCGGGCTGCATGTTGTCCCAAATCTCATCAAATTCTTCTTCACTCACCGAACCAGGAGTCTCTCTAGCAGCTCCTGTGAGTGTCGACTTGGGGCTTCCTGCTTGAGCGTTCATCGGGAACTCGGCGGAATTGCGTATCAGGAAGGTGGAAATGGGGGTCTTTGCGAAGATCTAAATTGAGACAACATGAGGCATCACGAGATGCGAGAAATCACTAACAGAAGACAGGCTAGAAGTGTCGTTTCAAGCAGATTAGGATCCCGGGCGCATGCGTTACAATTTCCGCTTGACTTAAACATTTAAAGTCAGACTGCTCGGTGGTGTTGCCACGAAGGCCCCTTACATGCGCTATTTAATGGAGTAATGATTCGTTCACAATGATTAAAATTTACCAAACCGAACATTTCACTTGGGGGGATGGGCCAAATATTTGATAACCTACCTTGGCCAAAAGCTCCCCCGAGTCGCGATTATATACACGGAAGAATCGATCAATCGAGGATGACATGACCACCGGCTGGTCATTGATGCCAGCAAAAACTGACAGATGCGGTAAGTTGGCGCAGCCGGCCCCACCACAGACCAGACCTGAGATCGCCCCAACGGCTGGCGAGAAAGTTTGCACTCGTTCTGGCGGTGCAGCAGCTCTAGAACCAACCGATGGCGCCATTTTACGGCTCTCGGCTTCGCTGCCACGAACAAGGCTTACATGCGGTACCCGAAAGTCAAGGAGACAAATGTCGCCGATAGCATTCCCAGCCACCGCTCTTAGACCAGTTCCTGGGCCTGACGTGTAGGCGATGCATCGCGTTATAGGTCGGGTTACAGCGAGGTCACGGAGCATTGCTGGGTTGTGTCCAGTCCCAATTGTTTTCTTGCCCAACTTTCGGCTGATGCGCCATGCTGACCTTGACACTGGGCGACGCTGACCGCTGCGGATGTCATAGACGCAAAACTGAAAATAACGGAAATCTAAAAATCATACTCGCAGAAAAACAGAATACTTATTCAACTACTGTAGTAATTTAAAGTGTAAGGTGTAGAAAAAAGCATTATATACACGGCAAATAAAAATAACAGGATTCAAACACCGTACTTATGACGGCCTTGGTGATTTTTTTAGCAAAAGACGATACATTTCGGGAATTGCATAGAACGTGTTTAGATTTATGGGTAACAAATAAATATAACTGCTCATGGAACTCACATCACCATATTTCGAAGATGTGACGAAAAGTTTGTCTTCATATCCTTCAACGAATGATGCATCAGATATCCAAATGGGAACTTGCAAATCAAGCGTATCTGGTCGAACGTTCTTAGCTACGAAAACGGGTGTGTCACACTTCTCAAGGTTCCATACGGAAAACGGTACATCTTTCCCACCACATATCACAGATGACTTATAACTTTTGCAAACACTCAGGTTGTTAGCGACAGGAATTTCATTCTATGCTAATATTATATTAAGAATCATTCATTTACTTTTAATGAAAAGTCTTCTAAGTTGACGACAAAAACTTTGCCCGAAGCTTTACCGGCAACCAAAGCTCTAAAGTTTCAGCAAACAAGGCACATATTACTCATTTCCAACGGAAAGGCCAATTGGCTTGGATGTGTCTGACTCATATGATGGACAATTCACTTGCGCGGTCGATCCATCAATAATAGAACTGCAAAACACCTTGCCTTTTCCAGCCGAAAATATCTTAATGTGTAAAGGTTGAAAGAACTCTTACTCTGCCTGATTTGCTTGGGTCCCAGCTAAGAAGATGTTCTCCATCAAAATGTAACCCAGAGTCTATCAGAGTGCGTGAACAAAAATCGAACGCTAGTATTTGTATAGTAAATAATGAAGATTATCCTACTTTTTGATATTCCCAGTGGGGAAATCGTGATGACATCCCTCACGTCCATCATTCAACACGCTTAAAAAATGGCCAGTGGGGCAGCTGTCAGCACTCAGGCATTCAATGCAAAGAAATATAAACCAATCAGTTTTGAGAATAGCAATATCATTGAAAATAGACACTGAATTTACAAATTGATGCACAAACCTAAGAGTTTTCAGACACAAAAAGATAAAAAATGTTAATATGACCCACTTACTGTTAAGTTTGACGTGAATGGGTCATCGAAAATACAATCAAAGGTACTTTTTACGTCAAAATTTTGTCAGGGATTTCAAGCTACGTTTTTTCAAATAAGCAAATATAAAGCTATAAGTAGAATGTCGGCTTATTAGAAAAGGGTCTTTTGTCGACGAATGCACAAAATTCTATTCTACAAATTCATTTGCAATTTAATATCTACATTTCAGCGTTTTTCTGCTATATCTTTCAAAGTATGTCTGCTGTTGCACGTTATATTCGAAAAAATTTGGCTCATTTGATTATAAAACGATATTTTTTTGATTTTTTCAGAGGTAAGTAGCAATAACTATGTCAATTTTAAAAGATGGTAATAACTCGGATCATTGAACAACCCTAGTATGATTGCTAAAAAATCTTAACATGGAGCATTAGGCACCTACTTTTTATCTAAAGAAGCTTAATCATTTAAAGCCGCTGTGTTCTTGGTGATAAAAAAATGTTGCTTTGAATAGTTCGCGGTCAACCGTTCAAATGGGGCTAAGCAATGCAAAAAAACGAGTTAGTGACATAAATTATCAATTACACTAGAAAATATCCGTAAACACTAAACAAGTTTGAGGGTAAGCAGATAGCGACGTATTAGATTAATCTAAAGAAATCCCTCAGAACAAGATGAAGCATTAATGGAAGCAAAGTTTTGCAATCAAGTCTGAGAAATTTCCAGAACAAAATGAAAATATGAAAGCAGAATGTTAAAGGACCTTACGTAAGAGTAAGATTGCAAGCGCACTATGGAGCAATTCAAGAACTAATCTCATTTGCTAGTTAGATGAGTTAACGGTCGAAGTCGCATTCTGTACTTCAAGATGTGAGGCCATAATTCAAGCAAAGTCTCTGCAACACTGTCCAGTGATCACGCTTAGTAGTTACTTTAAAAATATCTCGATTTTGCCAAGACGTTATCTGAAACTGCCCCATTGGAATAATTATACGCCAACGCTAGTGATGAGTTTAGAATCGAATAACACCGCGATGACAGCTGTGGAGGCTTTACACATTTTTCAACAGTTGAGCTTCGTGCTATTTACAGGTGTTATTAAATGTCACCCACTAGGAAACCTTACTGCATGCAAAACCGTTTTTTGGAAAAAATGACGATACTGCTCAGTTTATTTCATCCAAGCACCACAAAACATGGAATCGTGGTAGAAAAAAAAATCTCAATAATGGAAAAATTACCGGATTTGCCTATTAAGCATGTAACGTAATAAGACGAGAGATGATGAATCAAAAAGACAGCAGGAGCACAATTTATTTACAGAGTAAACAAGGCATTTACGAATTCAATCATAGTTGATGCAATTAAAAGACTTGACCTTTTCGAATTTGGATCCACGCGACCACAGCAGGGAGTGGCTAAGGATTTGAACATTCTATGCATTAAGCGTCTTAAGGCACCTCTGCAGATTTAGGGCATTTGCTTCACCGACGCTTGCCCTATCACGACCAAATATTTTGCATACTTTATCAAACCAAAATAAAATCCACCTAGCACGCAAATAACCACGACGAACACTAAGAGTCGAGTCATATGCGTAAGATAAAAGGTAGTTTGGTTTAAAAGAAGCAAGCTTCTAGACACTACATATCTAGGCGACTTAACTGAAGAGCGAATAAACATCCACAAAACTGGAAGTTACAGACGCCTTACAACAGTTGACAAAAGTGATTAACAAAAGTTCTTCACATTACATTGAAAAGGCAATAAATTAACGACTAACACACCGACCGC